TCCCAGAAACAAACAAAGGTCCCTGGGAAGAGTGGGCTCAAATTTAGAGTGTAATGGTAGTGAGGAACACATGTAAAAGGGTACTAGTTTGGGAGTTGGAACCAAAAATGAAAGAGAAAAAAAGAGGCCCCTAAAAAGGACTTTTTCTCCATCTCCATTGATTACATGATCAGAGAGACTGGACCAGTAGATGACAATACATCAGGCTGATGGCCAAGGACTGATGGCAGGGGAAATGTCTGCATCAAGAATGCAGAGATGCACCAAGGACAGATAGATGTGGATAGAGTCAGTCACCCAAGTTAGCACTTTACTTGGAAGAGAGAAGCTACCAGCTACAGATTCATGGAATCAACTGGTCTTTGGAACTCAGCTGAGTGGTCTAACCCAGCAGAGAGCTATACCTAAGGATATTTATGTGAGGGCTAAATGAAGGGAGAAAAGAATTCTAGTGCTAATACTGCCATAATGTATGGCAATTCACACTACATGTCCCTCATTACCATTGCACTCCAATTTTGAGCCTACTCTTCCCATGGACCTTATTTATTTCTGGTAGATGCATCCCTAGAATTGGGGATAATATTTTATGCCAACTGTTCTTATCACACTATCTTGGTAAATGCCTTTGCTGAAATATACTGGCTGATTGTTAATGGGAAGCACATTGGTGGGGGCTCAGAAGCTACAGTGTTAGAAGGATCACAAGATTCCCCCTAGAACTCTGAGAGTTGTTAGTTGTCCTTTGAATATTCAAATTATTAGTCAGAATGAGAGCTGTAGGAATACCCCAAAGAGGATGCTATATTTCCATGGAGAAATTAAGAATTCAATCACTAACACTGAATTCACATGAAACTTTCCAAAAACACAGCTACTGCATGAAATAAGGGACACTGCACTCCAAGCAGGAAGCCAAGAACAAGCTGGAGGAGAGCCACTGGCAGATGTATTGGGAATGAACCTCAATAGCAGACTAACAAATTCTGGCCAAGAGACCTGACATTCTGTCATGGAAAGCTCAAAAAAAGAGTGGTGCTTGTTGGCATCACTGGTTCACAAAGCAGATTTATTCCAAGAACATTTGCAAAGATAAGAAGAGGAGAGAAGCTGAAGACTGATCAGCCTCAAAGTTAATTCAATTATTATCTTAACCACTGAGGTAAATCCAGAAAACACTTTAAATAATTAGGTAGTTTTCATTTTCAGTCATGTCTGACTCTTTGTGACCCCATTTGGGGTTTTCTTGGCAAAGATACTGGAGCGGTTTGCCATTTCCTTCTCCAGCTCATTTTGCAGATGAGGAAACTGTGGTAAACAGAATTAAGTACACATAGCTAGTCTGGATTTGAATTCAGGGCTTCCTGACTCCAGGCCTGGTGCTCTATCCACTGTGCCACCTACCTGTGGTGGTATTCACATGTTCTACATTCTATCCAAGCTAGACTACCAGCTCCACACTATGGCTCCCACCATCCTCTATGCCCAAGTTGCCCATATCTGTCTATTGAAGTCCCTTCCTTCCTTCAAGGTCTAGCTCACTTGTATGTCATGGCATCATCTCCCTAATGTCATGGTCTCCTTCAAGAAGAAAGGACAAACAACGACAGATCACAAGTCAAGCCAACATGCATTTATTACGCTCTTACCATGGGCTGAAGATGCAAAGAAAGCCAAAAACCAGTCCCTGTTCTCAAAGACCTTGGTGTCTAATGGTCCTGCCAATTAGTCCTTAAAGTCTTTCCAGGATTCCGCAATCCACACAGAAGTGATCCCTCCCTCTTCTAAATGTCATTCATGCCTTACTTCACCTTTCCTGTGCACTCATCCCATTTTCCCTCGGATCATCATATAACCCATGACCCAGAACCCCAAATTCTGACCTTATGCAGACCAGGTTTAATCTCAAGGGCTACCTCAAAGAGTCGCTCTCCATTGATCTCATTTTACCCCCAGCCAAAGTTGCTTCTGTGTATGAATCATTGCTTTTTCTGGGTCTGTAAAACTTTTCTTGAAAAGAGTTCTCCTACATGTTTCTGAAAATAAGTGACTTTGTAGTAAACCGAGACCCTGGGATCTTGGATTTGGAACTAGAAGAGATTTCAGAGGCTGCCTAATCCAAACCCCTCGTTATACAAATGAGGAAACTGAGGTTAAGAAAGGTGAAGGGCCACAGAGCTGGTAAGTATGTGAAGTGAGATTTGAACCTAGGCCTTACTGACTCTGAGTCCAGAACAGTATTCATTCTACCACCCTGTCTTTCAATCCTACTAGGAAAGTGTAGGGAATTGTAGGAGCGGGGATGAAAACACTCTACTGAATTTTAAAGTTCAGGATACCTCAACTAGGTGAGAACAAGTCTGTCAATCCATCAAAAGCCTTTAAAGGGCAGCTAGGTGGCGCAGTGAATAATCTCTGGCCTTGGAGTCAGGAGGACCTGAGTTCAAATCCAGTCTCAGACACTTAACACTTACTAGATGTGTGACCCTGGGCAAGTCATTTCACCCCAATTACCTCACCAAAAAGAAAAAAAAAACCCTTTAGACTAACCTAAAAGGGACCTTTCTAAGAAGACCAGAGCAAGAAACTTGGCCGCACCCTTGGAATCTTCAATAAATTATTGAGTTGAGAAGGGGGATTCCAGAAATTGGAAGCATGTGGAATTGAGCTGAAGCCCCTGAGATGAAATCCCCTAGGGGGGAAGGAGAGACCTTGTCTTTACTCTTGTCCAGATCTCCCCGGCTCCTCTTTGACTGTAGAAGAACCTTGCCAGCCTGGAAGATGTTGGACCTCCCCGTCTTCCCATCAGTTGTGCTAACCCTGGCATTCCCTGCATCATCAACAGTAAAAGAAAGACCAGATTCATGGCTCAGCAACCCACAACCATAGCAGTGAAGACACCACATCACGCCTAAAGGCAATGCCTTGTGGACTCCCCTCCTTCATATTCTCAGACTCCAGAGCCAGTGTTCTTATGATTAATTTAAAAAAAAAAAGTAATAACAGCTAGCACTCATGTGTTGCTTTAAGGTTTGCAAAGAGCTTCACAAATATGATCTCATTTTATCCTCACAACAACCTTGGGAGGCAGTTGCTATCATTATCTCCATCTTACAACAAGGAGACTGAGACAGAGGTTAAGTGACTTGCACAGGGTCACACAGCCAGCAAACATCCAAGGTCAGCTTTGAACCTTTCCTGACTCCCCCATCCAAGGCTCTATCCACTGCACCACCTAAGGGCCTCTAATAATTTGTTGTGATGAATTATTTTTTATTTATCTCTTAAAATGTTGGGTTTTTCCCCAGTTGCCCAGTAGGACATGCATGGGCTTTTTGGTGTCTGACTTTGTATCCCCAACACTGAGCACAATGCCATGCACATAGTGGGTACTCAGTTCCTCCTTCCAAAAAATTGCCCAGTTGGTATACACTTAGAAAGAAATACAGAGGGGCAGCTAGGTGGTACAGTGGATAGAGCACCGGCCCTAAAGTCAGGAGAACCTGAGTTCAAATCTGGCCTCAGACCAAACACTTGACACATGCTAGCTGTATGACCTTGGGCAAGTCACTTAACCCTAATTGCCTCACTTAAAAAAAAAATACAGAAAAGTAGATAGATAGATAGACAGACAGACGGATGGATGGATGGATGGATGGATGGATGAATGGATGGATGGATTGTGAGAGGAATAGAGGGGGAGAGAGGGGAGAGAGAGGAAAGAAGGGAAGGACAAGGAGGAAAGGAGAGACAAAAAGAAGACAGAAAGCAAAGGAGACAGAGCACCCACACACATTTATTAAGCGCCTACTGTGTGCCAGGCCAGGAGCTCCACGTATCCCTGTTGTTTACCCAAGGGAACGTAAGCTCCCAGAGAGCAGGGACCGTCTCCTTTCTGTCCTGGCATTTTCCAGGACCTCAAGCACTGTGGGGTACACAGTAGACGCTTAATAGATTCCAGTTTATGGCTGAGCAAGTTCTGATATATGAATGTTATGGAATACTATTGTGCTATAAGAAACGATGAACAGGCTGACTTCAGAAAAACCTGGAAAAACTTGTATGGTCTGATGCTGAGTGAAGTGAGCGGAACCAGGAGAATGTTGTACACAGTAACAGCCACATTGTACGATGACTAATATTGATAGACTTAACCCTTCCCAGTAATACAAGGATCTAAGGCATCTCCAAAGGCCTCGTGATGGAAAATACTGTCCACATCCAAAGAAAGAACTCTGGAGTTTGAATGCAGATTGAAGTATACTATTCGCTATTTTTTTTTTCAGTTGTGTTCTATTTCCTCTTTCTGGTGGCTCCTCCTATGGGTTTTAATGCTTACTTAGAACATCACTAATGTGAAAATATGTTTAATAGGAATGTATATGTAGAGCCTATATCAGATTGTGTGCCGTCTTGGGGAGGGAAGTGGGAAAGGAGGGGGAGAAAAATTTTAATCTCAAAAGCATATGGAAGTGATTGTTGATAAATCAAAATAAATTAATAAAAAATAGATTTCAGTTTATTGAATGATGGACTGGTGGGTACATGGGAGAGTCGGATGGATGGACGGAAAGCCCTCGGGCAGCAGGAGCCCAGGTCTCGGCTCTGCATCAAGGAGTAGGAGCGCAGGGTGGGAGACCAGGGACCAGAAGCCCAAATAAACATCCCGCTTAAGCACCGGGGCGTGGTCCGCTGTGGTCTTAGCCCCGCCTCCAGCTCCTCTTTGACCAATGGGAGGGTGCTAAGCCACACCGCCCCTTCGAAGCCCCGCCCCCTTTCTCTGACAGTCTTTGGGCCCCAACGGAGCACCCGCCTGCGCTATGACTATTGGCTGCCGCTGACGGAAGATGGACTAAGGAAACAGCCAATGGAAGCCCCCCACGGAGAGTTTTTCCCGGGGAAACTTAGCCGGGAGAGTAAAACCGGAAATGGAAGTGACGGACGGGTGGAGGTGGCCAACCAGGAACGGGGATCGAGACTGTGGGGCGGGAGCAGAACTAGGCAGACTCAGACTGCCGGGCCAAAACTGGTAGAGGCAGCTGGGACCCTGGGGAGCTGAGCGGAAGCCGGGGCAACGGGAGCCACAGGTGAGGTGGGGACGGGGGCCAGGGAAGAGCGGGGGCCGAGGCTGGGAGCGGGCACAGAGTGGGGACGGGCCAGGGGACGGGGAGCAGGGGATAGCGCGCCGGGCCCCCTGGATGTGACATTCAGTGCTCCGGACCCCTCTGGATGTGACAGTGTGCCAGACCCTCCTGGGTGTGACGTTCAGTGCTCCAGGGCCCATCTGGCTGTGACAGTCAGTGTTCCTGGGGCCCTTCTGACTGCGACATTTAATGCTCTGAGTGTCCCTCTGGATATGACATTCAATGTTCCGGAGGCCCCCCTGGCTGTGACATTCAATGCTCCATGACCTCCTGGCTGTGACAGTCAATGCTCAATGACCCT